CTGATCTACTAAATATTGTTGAAATAAATGACCAGAAAGATGTAAAATGCTTTGTGTTTTGTTATAATTTTGAACTTAAATTCTATGAACAACAAATTTTTGAATTATAACTCATTTTGCTTTTTGTTTTAATTGGTGTACTTGAATTTGATCCAAATCTTCATCTCCTAATATAATTTTATTTTCACTTTTATTATCAATTTCAAATATTTCTTTATTATATTCAACTTCTGTTCTTCTTTTTTTAACTGCAACTATTTCTTTACTAACTTCAATTTCTGTTTTTTTTTTTTTAATATTAGATCTTGTACTTATACTTGAGGCTAATGATTTGAACCAAATAAAAAATTCCTAATCGGTTAACTGAGTTAACTTACTCAAATACAATTAGGTTAACCATATTGCTTCGGTTAAATCGGTTGACCTAGTTAATTTGACCCAGCTTAACCGAATTAGCCATGTCAACCAAATTAGTCAGGTCAACTGAGTTATTCAGATCAACTAGGCCAACCAAGTTATTCGGGTCAACCGGGTCAACCGGGTCAACTAAGTTACAGCTAATTAACTGAGTTAACCGAAAGTTGTTTGTTAAACTACTGAGAACTTTTCTTCATTTAAAGCAAACCTATTGATGACTAAAAAAAATGGATCATAGGCCTATAATGATAGCAAAATCACGATTATAGAATTATCAATTATTTTATTATTTAGAGTTATCTATATACTGATTATTAGATAAAAGATAAATAAAATGCTAGTTATAATTGTTTTTGCTTAAATATTGCATTAAACTAGTACAATACTCTTAAGATGAAGCTGAACGATCATCCATATTAGTAAATGACATGCCAATTTGCAATGTTTTACTTGACATCATAATGGTTTATTATAACAATAAACAATTTCATACAAAGAAAATTAAATTTATTAAATTAAAAAATTTTCTTTATACGATATTTATGTTTCTTATACTAATAATGATCAAGCTACAAATGCGTAGTTATTTTGGGCCCTTATACGTAATTATTTTTAATCTGGATCTGTATTTGTAATTCACTTTCCGGGTCCTTATTTGTAAATTCACCATGTAAATTGCATGTAAAAAACATGATCAAATATTTCAATAGGTCCGTTGGGTGGCCTGACATTAGTCAATGAATGAGGTGCTCGAAAAGGCCAATTATATCAAGTTGGTGAAAAGTAACTGAACAGTGACCTTTTTTTAATCACTATGATTATCATTTTAATGTTTAGTAATCATTGCAATAAATTAAAAATTGTAATAATTTTTAACTTTATTGCAATGATTACTAAATGTTAAAATGATAATCATAGTGATTAATAAAAGGCCACTGTTTAGTTACTTTTCACCAACACGGTATTCAATAGGTATAAAACTCTATATATGCATCAGTTTTGGCATTGAACATGTGCCTAGTCTAACAGTTTTGAAAATCATTGGAATATATAAAGTTATATATGTTCAATTCTTTTAAAATTATTGAACACATGTCTAATGCAATACTGAATGCATCTTCTATAAATGTACACACTCTAAAATTCTGGCCCACGACCTCCATAAATGTATTGTTCTCTTAAGTGCATGTTATTAGAGTTTGGTCCAAGAGCATGCCCTTATAGAGGTTTGCAGCTTAATATATACAGTTCTTAAGTTATGGATAAAATACTTTATGAACAGAAGAGAGCCTAAATAGGTTCTTAATAAAGCGATTTGAAGAGCATTGTGTAAGTTAAATTCATATAAGCATGAATTTGATAAGAGCTACTTACTGTATTTATTGAAATGAAAAAACTTGATCAATACTGATGTAGTAAAAAAAAAAAAATTTAATACTAAATATAAAATAAAAAAAATAAAGGATTTATATATCATCTTACGTATCTACGTATCTACAAAGATTTATTTGTGCTTCAAGATAATTCAACAAAGTTTCAAACCCAAATAATTATAATTCGAACATTAATAGGGCACAAGCAAAAGATTCTGACTCCTATTGATACACTTAGGATCATTGAACCCTACAAAAATAAAAAAAATTATGTAACAAAATAAACAAATGTACTCTTAAAGAGCTTTAACCAACCAGAAATAGAAGTAACTCTGTAATAATCAGCATAATGAAGTTTTGAATGTGTTAATTTAAAAGCGTATAAGTACTAAACAGAAAAAAAAGAAAAAGAAATATATAAATTATCTGAAATTAAGCCCAAGTGTAATGTTGAAAGATCTCTAGAACAGTAGCAGTGCTAAGTAACGAGTGTCTGAATTATAATCACTATGAAATCCCTCAAATTTATTATATTGGTTATTTCAAAAATTACCATGTCCTATTTTTTTATAAATGATCTTATAGAGATCACAATGATTATTTGTGCAAAATATGCATATTTTGTATAAATAATCATTGTGATCTCTATAAGGTCACTTATAAAAAAGAGAATGTGAAACACCCAGTATATTCCTTGCCTAGATCGTTTAAGTAGTGAAAATAGTAGATCTTGAAACTCAGGTAAAGAACCACCAGACTTAGATATAGATTTGGTCTTGTTGATTAATAAATGAAAGGTTAATGCTAATCGTAGCTTACCTATCAAAGTAATAGATGATATGAGAAGTTTTTAAATTGATTACTAACAAATTTGTAAATTAAAAATCATGAATTAATGCCTGCTTTAGATGATCCCAAGTTTGAAGACTTGAGAATTCTCTGATTGATCATAAGAATTGAATTTTTTATATTATAATTGGGTTAAATGATTAATCATTTTTATGAAAATTCTCAAATCCCCAGACTGACAATTTCATAGACTAATCCTCATATAAAATATAATCAAATCTTGTGAGGTGATCTCAGTAAATCAAAAAATCTTAATAAACTAAGGATAGTAAAACGAACGAATGCATATTAGAACTTAAATATATTTCTAATATTTTAAATTAAATGCTGATTATATTTACCTAGATATAACTTTAAAGTCAAGTTTAGATAGCTTATTCATCTTTGTCATGAGAGCATAGCATTATAGATCTTAATATAGAGTCGAAGGTTCTTTAAGTAAAGTATAAACAACTATACCTCAACAATATTATGTTCTTAAATCTCTACTAAATGTACCTATTTATTATCTGGTGTTACAAGATCCAGGACATACCATTGAGCAGATTTAAAAATTCAAATTGGTAAAATTGTTAAACAAGAATAATTAGAAAAATTATCTTAAAATGTATTTATAAATCACCTTTTTGTGCACTAATAACAAAGTTCCTAGTAATATTTTGACATAAGTCTTATTATTAATAAACCCTCTAAATAGAGTAAATCGCCAGTTAGAGTGAACCAAAATATATAATATGCATATATGTGCAAATTAGATAAAACAAACAAATTTTATAACATTAAATTCTGGCTTTTTTTCAGGAATCTGATCAACTCACCAACAATCACTTTGTAGATACCACATTTCACTAACAATTACTTACTGACAAGTTCATTTTACCAAAGCTCATTTTACAGACAAAGTAATTCTGGTCAATATTATTAGAATTAAAGTTAATATAATTTATAAAAAAAAACTTGTCGATGAATGAGCTTTGGTGAAATAGACTGTCAGTAAAATGAACCTGTCAGTGAAATGTAATGATTGTTGGTGAAATAATACAAATCCTTTTTCAGTATCACTTATCATGCAAAGGAACATATATGCACATATATGCACATCGCCCGTTTTATCAAATATCACAGTAGTAATAGCCTAAATAACCTTGTGTAAATTACTTCTTTGGAGAAATAGCAACCCTGTATAAACTACTTCTATAGGTAAAATTAGTAATCTTGCATAAACCAAACTTTTTAATAGCGACTCTGCATAATAAATTCCAGTACTTGATAACTACATAGTCGCAATATTTCAAAAAAAGTATACCTAACTATGCATATACAAAGAACCATTCTAAAGCATCGGACTTAATCATTATAAGCCTGTAGTTTAAAAATAAATTAAGTAAATTTAAAAGCTAAACCAAACTAAAACTCATTGTTAATTTTTGTAATACAGATTTTGTTAATAATATTTGAACAAAAATCATATGCATTATTTCAAGATCCGAGTTTGAGATGGCCTAATAATTATGATTTACATTTGGTTAATAGCTCACCTCAAGCTCATGTCTCAAAATAATGCCCATGGGCATTATTTGCACAAATACAGTATTTGAGTTTCATAATTATGTGATCTCAACTTTCATATCTTTCAGGGTTATTCTTTCAAAATATTATACTTTCAGGATTTTGAAAGTATACTAACTGTACATGTCCACAAAAGACCCATTTTAAAAGCTTCTACTTAATAATTATAAGCCTATAGTTTAAAAACAAATAACTTGGGTAAATAAATTTAAGCTGCAATCCAAAACTGAAACTTATTGTTTTAATTGTTACAATACTTACACCAGGGCCAGTGGATTTTAATAGTAGCAAAAATAGCACTAGCGATATCACGACAACTACATAACCAAATCTAACTGAAATTGTTTTATTTTAATTCTACAAATCTAGAATTTAAATAAACCAATTTTGATCAGATTTGGTTATGTGGTTGTCATGATATCGCTAATGCTATTTTTGCTACTATTAAAATCTACTGGCTCTGACTTACACCAGGTGGAGACAAAGAACACAATCTTTAAATGCCAATATTATTGTCTGATAGGTGATCTCTTTTCAAATATGAATATCTTTTTGAAAAAAAAGAGCATATCAGTATATACATATGTACAGCACCTAAATCGAAGTTCAATACGATATTGATATTCTAAATAAGCTATAGACCTGATTTAATATCAAAGACAATATAATCAATAAATCAGGTCAAAATAGCTATAAATTGAAATTTAAAATTCCTTCATGCTTTTTTTTTCACTCGATAATTTTATTTCTAAAGATATACCTTAATTTAAAAGATATAACAATGTTGGGTATTAAATCTGGAGAAGCTTCACAAGCTAAAAATTCATTTGAAGTTGATGATGTGTTAGAAGAAGATCTCCAGACCAAAGGTTTCCAATCTACTTCAAAAAGCCACAAGTGTCATTGTAAGACAACTAGACAAGTTGTGCTATGCTGGAAATATTTTAAAATAGAAGGAGAAAAATCAGTATACAATGTTATAATTAAAATAGATGGAAAAGAAAAAAAATGCGCAAAAAGATTTAAATATCTTTCCGAATAGTCAACAACCAACATGAATTCACATCTTGCAGATGAACATGACATAGTGAAATTTCAAAAAAACCTGGTAAATAATCAACTTCATATTTTTATTTTGAGCTTGTCTAAAACTTTAATCAAAGTTTTAGACACAAAACATAATTGAAAGCCAGAATGTGAGTTTTCCCTTGACGACACTTATCAAATAAAAAATATATTCATTAAATTTGGTCATTGATTTTAGAGTAATACAAAAGGTTCCCAGCAAACTATCACCAGTATGCTACAGCATGTCATCCCTCACAAAGAAGTTAAAAAACTTAATATTTGTCATGGTGTTGCAGAATGGCTTGTGATTGACAATTGAGCATTTGAAGTTATTGCCAGGGAAGGGTTTCGTAGATTTATATTGCAAGTAGACCTTGCCTTTCATCAGCCTTCTTATAAGACATTAAAAAAAGAAATAGCTATTGCAAATGTAACTGCAAAGAACCAAATCAATGATCTTTTAGCACAAAGTAGTGAAACAATTTTTCTAACAACTGACCTTTGAACAGTAAGAAATAAAACAGGATACATTGGAATAACAGCTCATTGATTAAGTGACAAGTTTGAATTAAATGAAATCCTACTTTGCTTAGAGTCAATGCTGTACCCCCACACTGGTAGCTCTATTAAAAAATTTCTTATTATTAAAGTTCAAGAATTTAATTTGCAAAATAAAATTCTTTGTGTAGTTACTGATAATGGTAGTAATATGATAAGGGCTATAAGAAATTGGGAGAGTGTAGAAAGATTGCCATGCACAGCCCATAACTTACAATTATCAATTAATTATGCATTTAAGGCAAAGCGTCAACAAATTATCTGCATACAAAATTTGGTCAAATTTTTTGATTCACCTAAACAAAGTCAGAAATTAGACACTGCACAAATTGAAACACAAAAAAATAAACAGAAAAAAACATCTTATAATGTTCCAATTTTATCTGATGAATCTGAAAGTGATATTGATTTTGAAGATGAGGAGGATAATGAAATAATAGACGATGATAAATTAATTATTAATAAGTTCATACCTACATTACGTATTATTAAAGATATACCAACCTATTGGAATTCCAAATTTCGATCATGGAAAAGGTTAAATGAACTGCGCCTTGCAATTAGACAGCTTTCAGTAACGTTACCTGTTGAAGATGATTCGGATGCAAAAAAGATGATCAAAAATTAAGTAAATTGATGCTGCAAGATAATGAGTGGAATCTTGCTAAAAAGTTAATTAAGATATTAGAACCTTTTAACAGTGCTACTGAATATTTTAGTGCTAGGCAATATCCTACTATAACGTATATTCATTCAGTAATGGAGGCAATGAAAGCTCATTATGCCAAAAATATAGATCCTGATGAATATAACTATAATAATGAAGGTATAAAATTTTAATATCAGTGGTTAAAATTATAAAATACATTTAAGAAAAAAAAAAAATTAGAAAAAGATAAAAAACCAAAAACCAATTTGATATACCAATTTTTTTTAATTTTATCTAATAAATACTTATTTTTTTTTTTTTTTAATATTAATGGTGAGGCCATGCCTCTATCTTTATTGAATATTTAATTGAGATTTTACAT